AACTTATTTTACTGTTGGCTAGAGGAAAGAATAAAGGATTAGGAATCAAATATGTATTAGCATATGTAAACTCAGACAGCACGTTAGTTGAAAAATTATTATCCATATGGAAAAAAATGAATAAAAAACTTATTTAAAAAAACAAACAAATTAGCTGTAATTTCAGCTGAACTTAAATTCAGTTTTTTCTCCTGGTTCTATCCTACTCAGCTTTTAGAGTGCAGGCATCTAAATGCTATTCTAACATCATATATCTATGCCTAACATAGATTTCTGCGACTAGAAGATCTTCAAAAGGTGCAACAATATAACTGTAATACTCATCTGTATAATAATGAAGTTGTTGTAAGTCTTCCTGAATTATAAACTCAAGTGAATTAACTTTAAACTTGTATTTGTGAGGAGTAAATACCTGCACTTAAATCTTGATGGAAATTCTTCCTAAGGTTTGGGGTTTGGTTGGGGGAGTAGGGCAGAGGGGTGATTCTCATACGAAATCTCATTGATTGGAGCAGAACAGATCAGGACAGAATGCCATTCTAAAGATCCCAGCTCCTCCTGAACAAGGAGTTCCAGTGGTTTCTGATTCTGTTTGGTATAGTTCAGGGGTAGGGAACCTTGGCTCTTTTATGACTTGTGGACTTCAATACTCAGAATTCCTGAACCAGCCATGCTGACTCAGGAATTCTGGAAGTTGAAGTTCACAAGTCATAAAAGAGCCAAGATTCCCTACCCCTATTAGATAGTTTAACTTACTCTCTTTCTCCATACATTAGCCAATTTGGTCTAGTGGTTAAGGCACTAGGCTTGAAACTGGGAGATTGTGAGTTGTAATCCCTCCTTAGACATGAAGCCAGCTGGGTGATCTTGGGCAAATCACACTTTTTCAACCCAACTTACATAGGATTGAACAACACCCCTAAACAACCTATACAAGCAGTTGAACTCAACAAACATTTTTAATATTTCCGTCCTATCTATGTATAAGTATGAAACCTACATGTTTATCGACATATAATATCCATATAAATCAGGAAAATGGAATTTCACTTTGTTAACGAAATAAAAGGGGGGTGTTAAAGAAACTAACAAAAAGAGACACCACAAGATCTGCATTTAGTGCTGATAAAAAGATGAAGTTACTCAGTAGTCTAGAACAGACAATAGTCCAGCAGGAGATTATGTAAAGGTTACCTCAGGCTTTTTACATTTGTTTTTGAAAGATGCTGCAATAATAGCTGCCAACAAATCAAATATTTGACTTTCTCTTCTGTGTTCTGAAAAGTACTGTTTAGCGGGGCAAGAACAATATGCTTCTGAGATGAGCTTTCAGTATGAACATTTCAATATTAGCATTTCCTTTCTGTGTCTTCTATTGCTGATGCATTTTGTTTTGACCCTCGATACATGATAAGCAAAAAAAATCAGCATTCTTTTGGAAATAATGTTAGAATTGCTGTCTCAACCATTTTTTCATGTTTGTATAAGATCATAATAGTGATCTTTATTTGTTGCTGAGATGATATAACTTGGCAGGACAGTGAAATGGAGCTTTAAGAAAACCTGATTAAAGGTTTCTGGGAAAGGCTTCTCAGTAAGCACAAAAAATGTTATATATAGTAAATAGGGAAGGGTCTATTGAAACAGAATGTCTGCTTAATTACAAATAGGATTTTTTTTCAAATCCAAAGCTTAATTTGCACAGGAGAAAACCCTACTTTATTGATAACAGTGAGCATCCATTGTCTAGAGAAGTAGCAAAAATTGTCAAATAACAGAATAACCGAGTTGGAAGGGACCTTGGAGGTCATCTAGTCTAACCCCCTGCTCAAGCAGAAACCCTACACAATTGTAGACAAATGGCTGTCCAGTCTCTTCTTAAAAACTCCAGTGTTGGGAGCACCCACAATTTCTGGAGGCAAGCCATTCCACTGATTAATTGTTCTCACTGTCAGGAAATTTTTCTTTAGTTCTAGGTTGCTTCTCTCTTTGGTTAGTTTCAATCCATTATTTCTTGTCCTGCCTTCAGATGCTTTGATTGATGTTTTGATTGATGTTCTTTTCTTTGTGACAGCCCTTTAAATATTAGAACAATGTTATAATGCCACCCCGAGTCCTTCTTTTCACTACACATACCCAATTCCTGCAACCGTTCTCCGTATGTTTTAATCTTTAGGCCCCTAATCATTTTTGTTGCTCTTCTCTGCACTTTTTCTAGAATCTCAACATCTGTTTTGTACCGTGCCAACCAAAACCGGATGCAGTAGTCTAAGTGAGGTTTAGGTTTAGGTTTAGGTTTTATTAAATTTATACCCCGCCCTTCTCCTGGCGGACTCAGGGCGGCTTACAGCAAGTTAAAAAACAGACAAACCATACAAAATACTAAGTTTAAAATACAATTAAAATGAAATATTGATTTTTTGCCGTTTCTTTTTAAAATTATGTTAAAAACCAAATTAAAATCGAATTAAAATCAAATTTAAAATATCCCTTAGGCCAGTCTTGCTAGCTGGAATAGCCATGTCTTGAGGGCGCGGCGGAAGGAGGAAAGATCCGGAATGACCCGGATCTCTGGGGGTAATTCGTTCCATATCAAGGTGTTATAAAGTGGTATTAAACTTTACGTGATCTTGATAATAAATAATCTTGAAAATAAGGGAGCAAAATCCATTATTGTGTTATCCATTAACTTTACTCCTAAATGTAATTAAGATATGAAATATCCCATAACTCCAGCAGCCAAAGTTCTTCCTGGAAAAAAAATAATGCCTGAGAGCAGAGAGTGATCTAGTCTGATTACCCTTTGGAATGCTTA